ACAAAGCAAGTAAATGAGTACATTTGAGACGGCAGGATCAGACACTATCCCTCAATGATTTACACGCCACTGAGTTGGGACGTGAACAGCTTCCTACTGCGTTGAATAGCCTCCCTTGAATGCTCGCAGCTGACTTGGCCCTTGGTCTCCTTTAAAAATTTGTCGCTGTACAGAAACATTTTGATAACAACGCGTTCCGGTTCCCATTTATGTGTGAACATTAAGTTATGATTGGAATGGAAAGACAAGGACAAATTCTGTGTTTGGGCTATACAGTCAAATAGAGTGCTGGTGCTAAATGCGGAAGAGTAAAGCGATAACTACCACAGGACATTCCACTGTCCTTCCGTCCTTTCTGTCCTTCATCCATATCGCGTACCCAAGTTTTCATCCCCGCTGCCAGTTGAATCCAAAATCGTCGGACTAGCAGTCAAAACCCTTACATCGTGAGCTAAATAGTCACTAATTATTACCTTAGGGTCTGTTGATTTGTAAGTACGCTAAATATGCGAATTCAGATAACAGGAAATCGGTGTTGGCAACAAATAATTAAAAATATTCTACCCAAAGTGATGGCAAATAGTGTCATTTCAGATTTAGTTCGCTTTTTCAAATTTTTCAGATGCTATCTCGTGTGCTTCAAAGGCATAAAAAGCATTCTGTGACCCTATTGATACCATATTTAGGTATAGTTTTGGACTTCAAGATAAAAACGGTTGCTGGGTAGACTGTGAAAAAACAGTGGAAACATACCTAACCAGGCGAAATAGAACCCAATTTTCTCCCCATAATACTGTCTGATATGATCGAGCGGTTGATACCGGTACCAGCAACCCCAACGGGCCCAATACCAGTAGAGTATTTGTCGTGGATTCATCTTCTCCGGGTGCTGTAGATCCTCCTGCGTCACCTCGTACGGACCCTAGCAATGAAAGTGAAACTCTACGCAGATATACGGATTCCAATTTCAATCATCAATACCAGTTTTGATAATCCAAAAAAAACAAATACATCTTATTACGAAATTTTATTCATCTACGTCTTTTTCTACAGATAATGCTACCCACAGTCACCAGTCTCACAGTGAGAAAAGTAATACATCCGTTGAACATGATGGGCCTCAATCGGTAGACAGTTTAATCACATTGGTCACTCTGTATCGCAGCTTTGTCCTCTTTACGGCAACCGATAATCGTTGTGTGTTAGTCACTACAGTAGTTGAAAGATTCATGTGGAGATTGTGGTCATGTCATACCGCGGGCGCAGCGGTCATGTGCCCACAAACAAGGGTTAGGGACGTCTGACTTGTTTTGTCGAAACTGCCAACTATGGCCGACCAGAGGAAGACCAAAATCTGTTCTGTTCGTGTGATCCCCACTCGGTGCTCATGAGACGCAACAAACGGTACAACAGGTTCCACTGGGGAACAATAAGTGAAGCGGATATACAAAAAATCCAGACAACAAGGGTTAGATACAAGAAAATAGTCTCATAAAGGTAGCTGAGTATTGTTTAGAACTGTAAGTCTTTGTACATTCGAGTTCGAACTGGCTGAATTTGATGTTTCCGGTGTGAAGGGAGATACCTGAATGAGATATCTGAGTGAACTGTAATGTGTATCTCGGTTAAATGCAGTAGCAATTTTAGCTGGCAGAGAAGCTGAATGGTCTTGTGGAATTCACTGTCCAGCGTACATTGTTCCAATTCATATTTGAAAATGTGATAGCTACCAGTTCCTAGGAGCAAAGTAGTGGTCCAGGCTCAGACTTAAATACGAGAGGAATCCCCTGGTCCACTTTTACGCAAAATGGGCAAAGGAACATCGCTGAATATGCAACATCCGGACGCATCTGTGACTAGAACGAACTCCAAGTGAATTTTGTCAGCGTGATAGATAAATCTGTCAAATGGGACCGGTATTGTTTGACCGGTATCTGATTTAGAAAAGCCCCTGTAACTACAATCTGTGAACAAATCAATACTTGTTGAAGCTTTTTGAACGCCTCAGCTGTTTCTTCCGTTCTATTTATCTGAGGCTTAGTTCCCCTGCAGACGGCTTGCAGAATGTGCTGAAGTATGTCTCAGCATAATTTGATTTGTCGAAAGACAGAATGTGAAACACAGTTGAACGATTTGCCCGTTAAATTCCAGAGGTGAAGCCAAGTTTATTGAAGATGCAATACCGTATTCAGTCAATCTACGGTTCGCGTTCAATACTGTTGAAAAACTATGGCTTGATGATTCTATTTACAACTCCGAATCATGCACTCTCGCAAACAGCACAAGGGCGAATGCTCCGTTCAACATCGCGGCCGTACCAATCGATTGATTGTAGTTTTTCTACTGAACTTCCTGACGAACGATTCAACTGGACACGGCACGGCATGCACAGTAAGTCTTCGTTCGTTTGTTTCATTTTTTAGCACACAGCTACCAGCGAAGTTGGAGCACTCCGTTCAACCTCGGGACAGAAGGAGTCAACGAAACACTTGAACGGATTCTTTTGCAGCTCAATGGGAATAAGGTCCTCAAAAGCGTAAACCTTATAGGTATATGTTGTTCCTAAGATATGTTTGACTCTACTTGACCGCAAAAAAATCACCCGAATCTGTTCAGATCGAACAAGATGAATTAGACCAGAACATTAAAGAAACGTAGACTACCGAACGTACTTCGTGTATTACATACGCCGCTGAGTAGACATCCTCTTCGATCAGGCGATCAATGCCCACTTGAGCCTTCTTACGGCTACCGTATGCTTGAGTCGAGAGGATCTCATAGGCCACTTGATGACGTTGTGTGGAGGTGAAGTAAGTCTCGCGTTCACTACTCCCGAGAAATCTGTGGACGTGATCAGAGAAAACGAGTGCAGTAAGAAACAAAAAGAGTATGGGCGTTTTTCTGTACAGGATAAATTCATCAAATTTATGATTAACACTTATACGTGCTAAATTTGATACGAGTTGATATGTGAAATTGTCACGGTCACATACGCGTATAGTGAAGACTTCGAATTCCACATGCCATATTGATCCACAAATACAAATAGAATTAATTGATTTTGTATCCCATAACATAGGACTATTTTATTCCTTTAGGAACTGCAAAATAGCCGTCATTCCTACAATCACAAAGCCAAAAGTGAAGTGCTGAATGGACGAGATTCGTCCATTAGGAACAACGTTATATTAGGTATTGATAAATTGGGTTACCCGAAATAGGCCAATCATAATTTCGGCAAACACGCTGAATAATCTCGATGGATCTGTTCGACGGCGGATGCACCTTTTCTGTGCTTAAAATTTTGAACACACGGATTCGCTCCACGCGTTCTCGTTCATTTTTAACCGTTGCGAGAAACCGCCAACCACGAGAGATTCCGAAAGTACATTTGTCTGTACAAATGGGTGAATGTCGTGAGGTGTTGTGATTCCCTGTGGCTCAACACTCAACGGCTGGTAAACTGATGGTGTCACTTGTGTGTTCTGTTCTGCGCTTCCGTTTCATATCGACCAATCTACGTTGATTCATAAAAGCAACCCAGTATTAATGAATTAACACTGGTGTCGGTTGCGCCAATCATTATTTTGGCCAGAAGAGAGTGTCATTTACTTTGTATGGCGATAACACTGCACCTCAGAGTGAATGTACTCGGATCAGAGTTTGAGTGAATTTAGGGACAAATTGTTGTCAAGCCCTTGAATTCACGCTCACGTTCGCTTCCACTCAAGCAGAGTGAGCACAAAAACGGTTGTGGTGTGTGTGTGGTAGCATCGGTTTGATAAAAACCCGGTTGATTGACTAGGAGTTGTAACCTGTGTAATTGCCAGAGAAACAGAATTCACGGTGTATTCAACTGTAGCGTTTGCGTTACGCTCCATCCAGTCTGAAGATGCCCATTTATAGGAAAAACAAGGCCACGGATCGAATAGGAAGTCAGGAATAACATACAGTCCTTGTCCTAGCTTGCATGACGAATATGAGACTGACTTTTGTATAGTTCTTACAAAACACGATATTCCGAGTCACTTCAATGCAAACTGCAGGTTCCGCCGGACAAATTCCCAACCCACTAACCCAATGTTTCCCAAAGGGTTTCCTTTTATGCACAATCATTTCGAACTGGATGTAAATGGTCCAGTTGTATTTTAGGCACAAAAAATGCATGATGAACTTTCGCCACAGTAACCAGAGTTCGTTGGTGGATTTCGTACAAAACTGGTGTTTGAAATCTCTCGGGGACGTTCACAACTGTATGCAAATCCAAAAATGTAGAGGATCGTATTTCGACGGTTCAGTTTGGGTGAGTCCAGTTCGAAGTCATAGAAACTTAGCACTAGAACTGGGGAATCCCAAAGAGCGATATCCACCACTGCTTTCAATCCACTAAACAGTGCCGGAAAGTGAAGACCCGTTCACCTGAAGAACGAAGACCAGTGTACAATTTTTAACTGAAATGTAAGCATATCTCAGCCTGCAAGCATTCTACAAATACAAATACAAAACACAAGAACAGTATCAGATTTGGGTAAGTAAGTCAGTACAGGTGTGGGGACTATTGTTTATCACAAGACCGATATGGTAGTTGGGCATATCGTGGTCCGACGGAACGATACATACAGTCTGCAACGGTCAACAATTTGTTCGCATTTTCTTTCGTTACAATATCAAATCCACCAGCTACTAGCTCCCAGATGTCATTTACAAGCGTGTAAAAACATACTACTCACTATTGTTAGTAGTACCCACAACAAAGTCACATACTTCATAAGACCTGTGTATTCTACTAGGATAGTCTAAATAAAATCAATCCAATAAGATAAATTACGCACTCCACGTGTTGACTCGACTCCAACTTGTTTACTTCTTCAAGGCAAAAGGGTCTGTGACGGTCAAGTGATCAAGTGTCACAAACGTATCACCCCCGAGGAGGACGTGTGTATTCACGCCCCACCACCGTCGCCCAACGTGCTCCATTTCTACTCGTTTGATTGGCCGCTTCCTGTTCCTGAAAGTTGTTAGTTTCGTTACATACATTCAATAACACAAAGTAAATGGAAAGGAATAGAGAAAGAAAAACTCCAAATCTTCTTTTGGGATAAGATTATAATTCGTCCATAAAATCGATAGTGCGCACTATCACAGCAACGTACATTTTAGTTGTTCTTGTGAATTCATGGAATGTACAACTTCTTTTGCAATCCACGTTGTTCGAATATCATTCTAAGATGTCTAACTGTCATTCCAACATGTCCGTGTGTAATTTCAAGCTATCTCGCTGACCTCATGGGAGTTGCCAGGCTCATGTATTTTTCAATCCTCCGAGCGATGTTTGGATCACTACCAGACAGCAAAGTCTTCTCAACCTCCTGTTGAAGAGCGAGGAAGACGGTTGTGAGAAGTGTATCAGTCATACATGCCTCGATTCCCGTAACTTCATTGTTTACCTTGGGTAGTAAGCGCACACGTGCGTGTATGTCCCATCCAACCCCGATAAAGTCACATCGGGCAATGCTCCGCTAACACCATGGATCATGCGCGACCAACGCTTGAATCATTGCTTACCTCTGTACCATGATGCTATAATAGAATTCGTAATCTACACCTCAAGCGTCTACACCAGGACACCAATCGACCATATTAGATCGATATGGACATCATGGTTGGACAGATTTAAATTCAGTTTGTCCTCGTACAACACTTGCCCCCCCCCCCCCACGTGGATTGAGGTCAAGGTATGCCATTCACAAGTGGTTAATGCAAACTGGCTTGTTGTCAAATAAGGCTGATCAATTGCCGGAAGGTGTGCAAAGACTGTAGGGACACTCCGATTTCTCCAATTTCGGTTTCGCGATGGTCGGTCGTTGTTTTGGATATTGTGCAACGATTTAGATGGTGAATGTTTGGTTTAGCCGATTCGGTTTTTCACAGGCACTAGGAACTGTTGATGTTGGATGTGGGTTTCACTCCCTGAGGAATCGTAAATTACTAAAATTCAAACATAGACTATCTAAATTGATTGAACCATTCAAAGAAGATGATAGCCATCGACCGTGTGGCTCAAGGGTAAGGATTTGATGTCCCGACCAGAATGTTCGCGGCTCGAGTCCTGACAGGGACGCAAAACGTACGCACTGTTGACGAGTCCCAAACAGGTCGAAACATCTGTTCAGTGCTCTTTAAAGGTTATCACAAACGTTTCCACCGCATTTAAAATGGTGAAACGATATTCGGACAAGTTAAATTGCAAAAGATATTGTTAGGTTTTTTCCCCTAGAAATCATTTTCAAATTTTGTCCACGTGGTCTCTCATATCCTAAATCGAAATGAAAATAGGATAGTGAGATTCGCATCAACGACAGTCGTGCCCGAGGTTGGGAAGGGGGGGGCGGTGGGACATGTTACATCAACTCGACCGTACCGGGCGGGCTCAGTTGTCCTCCCCTCCGACTCTCATGTGCACCGAGACACACACGTGCCTGCACGACCAAGTGTGCCCTCTCCCCGTTGCTCCAGACACTCAAACTGGTTACCCCATTTCCATGGGCTAAACTTTTGTCCCTTTGCTCAATTAATCACTGTCAAGCGCACATAAACAGTCCCACAGAACACATGATGAGAAAACAAGTGGTAAACAGGTTAATCTTGTCACGTGACTCGTGGTGGTTCAGTAAAGTCACGTGTTATGCCGTTTGCTCTTCGAGCTAACAGCAGGCTCACTGCTTTCTAGGTTGTAACAGATTGGTGGCATGTTCAACTTGCGGAACTAATTAAACAACCAGTCTCAGGGAAATTCCTGAAACTTGGAATCATGTAATATATATCCCCCCTCCACTCTACC